ATATATATATATCCTTATCCTATGAGTCCTACTAGTATGTTAGGATCGTGTAGATTGCTATGCTATAGGATCCGGTAGAAGTCGAGTGATTATCTATCACTCACGAGAGATAGGAAAGATATTATTGTTGTTATTATATTACTGTCACATGGAATATATATGAATGATAATTGGAGACCAGGTGGAATGGTACTTTGGATCTAGACTTGGTTAGGCATTCGAGTGAGGCTCGGATTACATTTGTCTCGCCTGTGTCGATTGAGGACCGTCCGTTGCTATGAATGGTAGTCAAGTCACAGACTTATTATCCTGAGCACATACTTGCTTATGGGAGCGGGAAGGCTCGTTACGCTCTTATCGTGGGTTTCGACTCTTTCCGAACCGACTGATTAGAGGCGGGGAAAGGTGGAGGTCTAAGCACCATACTAAGATCGGGTCTCAAGTGTGGGGGCTTAGAGTCCAAATTTGGACGGGGACCTGGACCCCGTGACAGGAGTGGAATGGGTTGGTCTTGTTTGTGCCTGGGGTACAAACGGGGCGTGTGTTTTGGGGTGCCTAGGTAGGATACATTGGTTCACGAATCGTCATTTCTATGAGACGGTACCGACTTGGCTATGGTCTAGCACCGTAGTAAGAACTGGAATATGAAAGATGATAAAATAGTTCTGATTGCTTACCACCTGCTTGAAAGTAGCATAGGTGCTTACATAAAATGGTTAGTTAATGAACTAATGATGACTGCTAATGAAGTTGAATATAAGGACTCACGTTTAGTAATGCTTCCGCAAATACAATAACCCACAAGCTAGATAGCCTTGCATATCCTTAGAGTCTTTTATTTTTTTCCTGTCGGGTAAGTCTAGCTGAGTACAATCGAGTACTCAGGGTTTTATTCCCCTGTTGCAGGTGATCGGATGATACTTAGAGCTGACTCTTGTGTGTGGAAACCACCTGGTGGGCTCAGAGAGGATTCCTTTCACGCTACGACCATAGTGTTTATTTATAACCCTCATGAAAGGTTTTTATAAGAAAAGATGTAAAATCTGCTAGCATCTCTTGTGTAAAAAATGTTCACTATGTTAATGCTCCACCATGTCCTTAAATTAATCCTGCTTCCTCTGTAACTTTGATAACATTGTTATATTTCGCCATTATAATAAATTGAGGTAATATTTTAGTACTGTAATAAAGTGATGTAAGAAATGACTTAAGAATGTTATAAGTTTTATTCTCTCATTTATGATCATGATGAAAAATATGGATTTTCGAGTTCTCCCTTTGGGTGTGCTTGACGGAACTACGTAGTTTAGTGTCATCTCTGGGAACTTAGTGTCTAATGGAAGACAAGTACTCCTAGGACGCATTAGATTAGGCGGTTCTGCCATAGTAAGCCCCCTAGTAAGTTCAAGTTCTTCATGAAGTATATGTTTGGAGCTTGTTGTGCTAGCGTGGAGTGTGAGCAAGAGTTGCTTGTGAGGATGCATCGGATTGAGCAGAAGCTTGATATTCACTCTGCACCGCCTCGTGACTTGGAGCCTCTTTGTGATCCCTTCGAGCTCTATGATGAGGCTTGCAAGGAATACTATGGTGAGTCATCTGATTAGCCCCGTCGCCATGGCAAGCAACAAGCTGGCGCCGAGGACGAGGAGTACATTGAGGAAGATGATGACGACGACGACGACGATGGTGGTGGTGATGGTGACCATGATGATGACGAGGACTACAAGGATGAGTAGTCGTTTCTATCACGTGGCCTACCCCTTTTGGCATTTGTTGACAAAGGGGGAGTGTTAGGCTTTGATCTATCTATGTAATAAGTTAGTTGGCTTGTGAGACTTTAAAACTTTTAGCTTGTATGAACTATGTCGTGTGGTGGCAACTATGTGATGGACAACTATATATTTGCTTGTGATGGATGATTGTAGGACAAGTATTGCTTATCTACCTATCTATTAGTTATCTTCCTTGTCTTTACTTGTGAATGGTGAATGTTATTTTGGATGGGCATGTGTTGCTTCAAGTTTTTACTTTCAGATCTTGGCCATCATTTTCTCTTTTACTTGTTGTGTGAATATAACATGTCATATTGTATCTCTTTTTCACGGATATATACTTGCTCACACACACTTGTTGCACCCCACAGATTGCAAGATTCATGGGGAGCTTTTGTCTTGATATCTGCAAACGATGCATAAATGATCATCATTGAAATTCAAGTTCATTGCATATATTAAGGGGGAGCTCTCCATAAATTTTGGGGTTCAAAATCTTTAAATTATTTTATTCTTATAAAAGTCTAAGTTGGTTGTCATCAATTACCAAAAAGGGGGAGATTGAAAGTGCATTTGCCCTTTATGTGGGTTTTGGTGTATTGATGACATCCAAATTAAGGACTAATGAGATCTTAATGAGATATATTACAAATTTAGTCCCATGAAAGTTTTAAAGAGTTGATCTATGATGAAATGGTATCCCTCAATTCTTAAAGTTGAAATGGCGGACAAACTCAAAGCGCTCTCCAAAGTTTTTATCTTTTGTTTTGAGTTTAGGCTCCGCCGTAATACAAAGAGGGATGCAAGTTTAGATGGTCTGAGGAAAATAGAGTGCTCAAGCATAAAAATAAAATCAAAAGAGAGACAAAATCACCTCACGAACACTTAGATGTAGTTTATGGACTTTTATTAGTCGGAAATCCTGGGGATAGCCAGAACTCCCAGCTGTCGGAAGTCTCGACTTCTGCCGGAAGTCCCGACACCTTAGAACTTAGCCGCATGGCTCGCTTGTCTATCAGAAGTCCCAACGGAAGCCGGAAATCCTGGCAATCGCCGGGAGTTCCGACAATAACCAAGCTAGCCCAGTTGACTGCGTCGTGAACAGTGTTTCGTAGTAGAGCCGGAAGTTCCGATGATCTGTGTCAGAACTTCCAACATAGATGTGAACGGTTAGATTTTACCTATGAGTATAAATAGCTCTCTTCTCTCTTCTAACCATTACCCACTCATTTATTGCTCACTAACGTTCATCCAAAACAACTCTCAAGCATTCAAGGTGCCCCTCTCCTCTCCCCTTTGCTCCAATCTTCGATTCTCCTAGGATTTTGAGTGAAATGAGAGTGGATTGAGTGAGAGAATCACTTTGGCAAGCTTGAGCACTTGATTTCTTTGTCAAGCCGGTTCGATTTGCATCTATTACTCTTGGTGCTTTGCTCCTAGCCGGCTAGGCGTCGCCCAAGAGCTTTCATCTTGTGGAAGCGCCTTGGAAAGTTTGTATTACCCTCAATTTCTTAGTGGAAAGCTAGAGTGATCTTTGTGGTTGCTTTGAGAGAGGCAAGGAGGTGGAAGAGACTCCGGCCTTTGTGGTCACCTCAATAACGAGGACGTAGGAGCTCCTTTGTGGGTTACCGAACCTCGGGATAAATCCTTGTGTTCCGCGTGCTTGTTGTTGTTGAGATTTGTGCTATCATATTTGTTCTTGTTGGTTTCTCTTCCTCCTCAAATCTTTTCTTAGGGTTTGGACTCGATCTACGAAGTGGGAGCATTTTGGGGTCAAGGGAGTGATCCTACGTGTCTACCTAACCACTTGAAAGTGGGGTTGTAAGATATCTCGTACTCAAAGTTTATTTTAGCACCTGTAGTGCATTTCTCGTAGGTGTCAAAACTCCCGGATGTTTGCGTCGGAACTTCCGGCTGCCGGAAGTTCCGGCCCAAATTGTCGGGACTTCCGACTGTTACTGACATTTGACTTTGAGATTACGCAGAAATTTTTAGATGTGCTTATTCACCCCCTTTCTAGGTATTGTTTAGATCCTTTCGTACCCACGTCACATCTGCTCTCCTTGTCCAACTACTCGAATGAACTAGAGGCCCACGCACACGCCCTTGTTCAGCCGCAGATCCAAATGGCCCAGATGTTCACTTTAGGGCCCATTGGGTTCTTTGCCCTGCTTAACCTCGTCCAGCTGGGAGAGCAGACAAGCAGTGCGTTTGGAACTTGAGCGAGGTTTTTTCGGAGACTGTGCGGCTACGCTTGCCTTTCCAGGCGAGAGAGCCAAATCGGCTCGCCTAGCCTGGCAAGCTTCTCGTAGCTCGCGCCGGTGAAGCAAGGCGAGCTAGCTGGGCAACCAACTTGCTACTCAGGGTCTGGGCAGCTCTTCCAGGCGACTGGGCAGCTCTTCCAGGCGACTGGACTCCAGCCCCCAACTTGCTACTCAGGGTCAGGGACAGCCTCAGTTGTCAGCTGGTCTAGGTTTAAGAGGTTTCTTGCCGGTGCTAGGTGTTTGGTTTCCCTCCCCACATAGAAGGTTTGACACTAATTTATAGTATTAAATATAGATTAATTATAAAACTAAATACATAGATTAAGACTAATTTGCAAGACGAATCTATTAAGCCTAATTAGACTATGATTTGACAATGTTGTGCTACAGTAAACATGTGCTAATGACGGATTAGTTAGGATTAATAAATTCGTCTCATGGATTACTGACGGCTTCTGTAATTTGTTTTATTATTACTATCCGAACACTTGATGTGACACCCCATATGACACCCGATGTAACACCTCTTAAACTTTAGTCATGGATCAAACAGGCTTGACCTGCCTGTGTTCCCAGAGACAGACGTCAGAACCTCACTTGTGCTCACGGAGAGTCGGAGACACAGGCCTGAGAACTTCACTTGTGCGAAATGTGAAGTTCTGTTGTAGCTCCAGAGTTTCCGTGCCTGCATCCGAGCCAGTTGTGCTTTTTAATCTGCTTATTAGCTATTGGAATCTTTTGCATAATTTTTTCTTAAATATTGTAGCACACAACCTTTGGTCAATATATACAGCTAGAACTAGTATTATACTATACACTGCTGCTGCTGAGAGAATGGTAATTCCATTTTCTGGTGAACCAGGCCTTCCAAGTTCAAACTATGCACTACCTGCAAAATGCAACAAGATCTTGCACTTCTGCAGTACACACTGCTGACAGCGCTTTTTCCAAATTTAGTGCCAGCCTAGAGTGAGTGGATGCCCTTGGCCTTCTCAATTGCGTCTTTGATCTTCCGAGTCGGCTCTTCAAAAAGTATCGCTGGATCATCGAACTGTGCTGCGAGGCTGGGCTCATCAAGGAATGCGCAGAACGTGTCGGCAACAGAGCTGGAGAGCGACTGCAGGTTGTACCCGCCTTCCAGGAAGAAGACACAGCGGCCACCACAGAGTTCCTTGGCCAGCTGCTTGATGCTGGATGCCAACATGTAGAACGTGCCTGTTGTGAACTGCAGGCCAGCCAGAGGGTCCAGCACGTGTGCGTCGTATCTGAGACGTACATGAAGAGTCAGTTCGGCTAGCCTAGAACACTGATGATCTGCGGGTTCATATAACCAAGGGAGTTATTTCTCAGCTAGTTCATGAACTAAGGCTCTGTTTGGTTGAGCTTTTGACTTTGGCTTTTGGCCCCAAGAGCCAAAAGCCCAACCAAAGAAGCTGTTTTTGGAGGGTGCTTTTTCAGAAGCAGCTGTTTTTCCGTAGTTCATTTTTGAAAGCTGGGTTGACCCTGCTTTTGGCTTTTGGCTTTCTGCTTTTCGAAATTGGTGGAATAAAAAGCTCTTCCATAGTTGTTTCAAGAGAAATAAAGATAAAAGGTATATTTTATACTTGTTTAACCAAACAACTTTCAGCTTTTCTACAGCTCACAGCCCACAGCAGCTTTTCCACAGCTCACAGCCCACAGCAGCTTTTTCCCACAGCCACAGCTCAAACAAACAGGGCCTAAAGAGCTTGGTTTTAAGGATGGTCGATAGATAGGAGAATCTCACCCAGCTGAAACAAGGATTATATCAGGCTTGAATCGATGAGCAGATGGAGCAATGACCTCATCAAATGCACACCTCATTGCGTAATCACCTGCACCACCGGGCAGAGGAAGGTTGAGTGTCGTGCCTTCACCGTCACCCTGTCCGACTTCATTGATCTTACCAGTACCAGGGTAGCTTCCAAGCTACATCACACATGGAAAACAAAGATTGTTTCATGGTAAAGTTCAACACCTAGTTGCACAAACAGATGTCAGACTCACAGAAAAACAGGGGTATGAAACCTGGTGAGTTGAGAGGAAGAAGATGTCTGGATCATCATAAAATGCATCGGATGTCCCATTGCCATGGTGAACGTCAAAATCTATTATCATCACACGCTTTAGTCCATGTTGATGCTGAGCGTACCGAGCTGCCACTGCGATGTTCCCAAAGACACAAAAACCCATGGGACCTTGAGGAACAGCATGATGTCCTGGTGGCCTTACTAACGCAAAGCCAAGGGGCGGATTAGGACCTAACTTTGACGCTGCGACCTAAGAAAATATGCAATATTTCTCGGGAAAACAGCACTGCAAAGTAAAATAAAAAACATGCTGAAACCACCATAATAGTGAACAGAGAGAAGATTATTACCACTGAATCAACCAATGTGATTCCAGCACCAGCTGATAGAAGTGATTCTTGAAAAGTCTATACAGAAAAAATGGAACGGCTTAAAATGGTGATATCTAAAATTTTGCTGATTCCAATAGTATGCACATCAATAGGTGAAGTAAACTATGGAACAATCAATGAGTAGCAACTTAAAATTATATCGCAGAAAATTTGAGTGATGAAATCAACAATGTCTGATATACTTTAATAGCTTTCTTTAGAAAATTTGGGTGATGCCTTTGTGCCAGTTCAGACTTGATTAAATTGTTCTTCAGTGTCAAATTTATGGATCAGAATTTCTGCAGTTATCAGTAACATCAAAATCATAAGGTGACTGAATCAATCACTAGTTCATACTTCTCATGATAACCTCGAAATAAGAAATAACTCATATATAATGCTATCAGTTGTAAACATGCTGAGTAATACTCTGTTTATTTCCAAGTTATGACCAAATTAATACTGACACTTCTCCTATTCACTTTCTTAGGACACCCCTGACCCCAACCTTCTTCACCTACTATCATATCTTATATCCTCATTTATGGGTGTACTTGTAACAATAACGGAGGTATTTCCAGGGACATGTGGGCCCATGATCCAGCAGCAAATCACCAAATCACTGGATACAGAATCAAGAATAAATTAGTGTTAAATACAATTTGTTTCTGCTTTGGTATTTCCTTACATTAATTGCTACCTTAGGGTTCTTCTCAAAACGTTTATTGCTTTTACATCTAGCACATCTATATAAAGTCAGTGTTCTTATTCCAAGTAGGTAAGAATAATGAATCACAGATCAACCCAGCCTATGGCCCCCTGTTTCTCTCAAAGTTCACTCAAGCCATGCCATCAGCACTCCACAATATGGAAGTTGTCTGTTGTCCCCAATATAGGTCCATAACAGTTTCTTATCTTTTGTCATTCCATTAAAAAAAATTTCTTACATGCTCTGTCGAAAAAAATGCCCAAGTAACTGTTTCATCTTGACAAACCAACAGGAGTAACGATTTTATCACTTTTCAAAAACATGGAAAAATAAGCCCTAGAGAAATGCAAACGTCCATGAATCCATCCACATATGAGTCCTCACAAAAGGAACACTTGATAACAGAACTCAAGTAAAGCCTGTGATAGTACAGCAGCGGAATAGGAGAGAGCATGCACAATTAGCATCAGAAGCATGTAAAAATGAAAAGAGCACATGCATAAAGGATTACAGTCTCTGTAGCGTATGTTGGTCCAGTCCCTTCAATAAATATCAGACCTTCATCTGAAGCTCTACCCATAGCCTGCAGCCACATTAGACACATATTAAGCAAATTGCAGCATTATTTCAAACCTATCTGATAGGTTTTCACCAGTAGAGAAAAACAACTTCTTATCAGAAAAAGTAAGAATAAATAAGGACAGCTTGATGACAAGTACCTTTTCGAGTCCAGTGATGTAAGATCTTGAATGAACTCGTGCAACATCATCTAGAGAAGCAGGGTTGAAATTTTGAATTTCCAGAACCTGTGAACCACGATGCTGAAAACTAAACAAATAAGATGACATTTAACTTACTAATACTCGTCCTTTTCTAGTGAAATGCAATTGCACATGGTATAAGAAAGAAACATGCCAAAAACCCAGAAGGTTTGACTAAAGACAAAAGGAACTGTTGAAACATAGTGAGATAAGACAATGTACTCAAGTTGATTGCTCATCCTATTTCTTTTTTTCTTTCTATATGATTCAATTTTAGCATGATTTCAAATAAAGGTAAACTGAAACAATAAAGGTGCTTTCTTTAAGGTAAAGTTCCAAAAAATAGTTGTGAACATTCGAACTAGTATTGCTAGTATACCTTGGGACTAAGCTCCAATTTCTCAAGAGCATCAACTATTGCAGGAACTCTTTTGTTAGATTCTGGATGTGCTTCCTGAATACCAAAAAGAAGTGGAAAATATTATGATATAATGCACAGCGCAGATGAGACAACTTATTACATCGTGACTTCTATAGATTATATGAAATATTAAAGTTTGAGTCAACAAGCAGCTCATGAAAATGAGTAGCACGACATTCATGTAATCGAATGTATTCTGCTATGAAGCAGGAACCTGAATTGCTTACTTTGTTATGACCCAGGGCAGGAGAGGTACAATAGAGTATACGAGCATCAAGAAGTGAATTATCAGGTATTGCTAAATTCTTTGGAGCATTGCCTTTCTCTAAAGAAGCTTGATCCTGATTTGCTGAGCACTGTGCACTCCAACTCCTGATTTGTTTTCGTTCTCTTCCCAATGTTTGGAAGATGCTCCTCCAAATTAAGGGATGAGGATGATGACTTCCAAAGGCACAGCAGTGTCTGAACAAAGGTGACATCCTCCCTGAAAAAAAAAAGAGACAGATTTCCCGTATACGTTACACGAATCATTACAACTGCATGTGGACAGAAAATAGAAAGCTAAGATCAATAACTAAGGCACCAACTGGACACTCCAACTTGGTGGTTTGTAATAAATTGGAAAAATATAAATATTGTCATCCTGATACAAGAAAACTGCTTAGTATAAGCATTATATCATGTGAAACAAATGAATAAAGATACGTGCAGCACACGTCCAAACTCCATCCTACCAGATGTAAGTCAAACGTTTGATGAAAAATGAAACTACAAACGAAATTACCACTCCATACTAATATGTGAAATCATCTTTATCAGACAGAGTGCCAGTAAACACCAAGCTCCAAATGAAATCAAGGTATATCCCAATCATCTTATTCCATCTTTACACTACGAGTAACTAAGCATTGTAGTTTAGTCACACCCCACTCCACACTAGCATAACATGATTACATAACCGAACCACCGTAAAAGGTGATAAAGGGCTCAAGGCATATAATTCTAGCATTTGGTTTCAATATGGGGCAGAGCCAACAACAGCCCCTCTTCATTCCAACAGCTTCCAGCGTGTAAATCAGAATGCCGTCCTGCTAAGTTGGTTCAGATGGGGGGACAAAAGAAAAATCCTAATATATAGCTGTGGTGGTTCTGCTTCACATGAACATTTCCACGAGCAGTTGGTAGCAGGGGCGGACCCGGTAAAGGGCATAGATGTACCGTGTATTTTTTTCAAAAAAAAAAGGTTAAAGTTTGTAGGCATAACACATAGCTTGGGTTTGGCCGTTTGGGTGCTCGGTTTCGCACAGAAGGGATGGGCATACCTGGTGGGTGCTCGTCGCCGGCGAAAGGTCCCCCGAAGATAGAGACCTGGGCACCTGGCGTAGGGCGGCGGCGGCCGCCCAGTCGTCGCACCACAGTCCACACCCCACAGAACGCACGCGATAGGATGGGAGAGCCGAGAGACGGAGAGAGTGGGGGAAATGGACGGAGGAGACCAGCACTCCAGCCGGGTGAAGTTCTGGGCCACAGCCACTGATATTCTTTTTAGACCTGAAAAAATACCTGATATATCATAATTTTGCCTTCTGTAGTTCTGTTTATATGAGATTTTTTTTTATTTTGCCCCCTTCCATTCTATATTTTGCTTCTGTTTATGTTCTTCTCATTTGGAACCCTGGGAACTTGTGGAGTACTCCTCGTCTTATAACAAATGCACATCTTGCTTTTTGATGAGCTAGTTTTTTAAAAATTTGACTATGAGTATAAAAAATAACAACAATATTTGTATTTTAAAATAAGTTTGTTATAAAACTATACTCCATGCTCAATCTAATAATACTTATTATACATCATAAATATTAGTATATTTTTTCACAAATTTGGATAAACTTTTAAAAATTGATTTTTCGGAAAACAAGATCGATGTGTATTTATTTTGGGACATAGAAGTATTGATCGGTAACTGTTTAGGACATGTTGCATTTGCGTTTGAACTTTGATGAAGCGTCTGATGTATTTCTTGCTATAGAGGGAATAGTTGCAGGCTTGAATTATTTCGGTAGTATTTTTCAGCGAACGAATAGTGTTTTTCTCTCACAATAAATCAGTATAAGCATCAGCATAAGCCAAATTTCAGCGAAACGAACAGGGCTTATTGGTGTTTGGGTTGCATGTTTCTGGAACTTTCCATGACCCAAATGGTCTAGTAGTCAGCCTGTGGTTCATCCCTAGCCAGAAAAATTAGGGCGTATCTAGCCAATGTTTGATTGCGGGAATAATGCTGCGTTTTCTCTACGAAAATAAACTAATTCCTATAAAATTCTTGTAGAATTCTTGCGAAATTCCTTGGTTCAAAGGGCCCTAAAACTGGTGGTGGCAAACGGGTGGCCGTTCAGACATTATCGTGTTTCGGTTGTGTGCGCTCTTGTACACTTGCAGGGCACGGCGCCACGGCTGCACTACGGAGAGCACGGCGTAATGAAATTTCTCAGTAACTCCAGCTTGGCCTATGCTAGCCACCGATAAGCCTGTTCGTTTGCTCGTATATGATCGTAGATTATAAATTGAAATAGTATTTTTCTCTCACAGCAAACTAGTCAGTAGTAAATAATCCACGATCGTAGATAGAGTTTTCTCAAACGCTCTACATGCAGTTTTTGGCACTCTCTTTTGCTTGAAACCCTGAATAAATCTCGGCATTATTGTCGAGCAAGAGCTGCTTCTCACCTGAGCACGAAGCTTTCTGCCTATCCTGCCCGCATTGCCTCTGCCAGTTTCCCTTTCTCAAACGCGAGAACATCTCCTCTCCTGGGTTCGAGACTTGGCGTCGGCCGGGTGGATGGCAATGGCCATCAGCGGACGAGCAGCCGCGCTCGTCGTCCCGAGCACCGCGGCCACCACTCCGCTTCCCTCCACCGTCTCCGTGAACCAGAGAGCAGCCCGGCCTCGGAATCGGAAGAAGGCGACGATGAAAGTTGCTACGGCGCCGCAGGCGAGCGGTGGCGGCGGCGGCGCGGTGCTGGAGCGGCCGCCGGCATTCGATCAGTCCCAGCTCGACACGCTCCCCGTCACGCAGGAAGGACGGGACCCCGGAAGGCTCAAGGATGGGAGGCGCTCCGGGAGCGGCGACAGCTACAAGGTTTTGCTCGTGGACGACGTGCGCCACACCGAGAAGCACGGTAAGTGCTCTGCTCCTTCGCCCTTTCTTCTGCCCTGCATCCTCACCGGACTCCCAAGTTTTCTGAGCATTGGAGCTTGCTGGACTCACGTCTGCCGTCGTCCATGTGCCCGCCTGCAGTGGAGAAGGCCTTGCCGCAGGTGGTGCCCTCCATAACCGCCGAAGCCGCACGGCAGCTGTTCCATGAGTCTCGGATGAGGGGCGTCGCGACTGTCATCGTTGCCGTCAAGGTACGTGCAGTCACACCCGCTTTTTGCGCCCGCCCTGGCCGGCGCACGTTTTCCTTTCGGCCTTTTTACATATTTATCATTATTATGATCGTCACTTACAGGAATCGCACTTTTAGAATGACGCTTACAAATTTAGCCGTTTTAGTTCACGCTCCTTTTATTTTTACTACTTTCGCCTATGTGGCACGCCAGCTCGTGCTGACACGCTGGCACCGGCACGGGAAATGACCCCGCTGCCCCCGGCCATCTTTCAATCAGACGCGCCGTTGCCCTCTCCCTTTTCTCCCTCCCCATTTCGTTCGCCGCCGCCTCCTTCCTTTGCCCGCCCACCGCCCCCATCCTGCTCGTCTCCACCGCCACGGCCACCACGAACGGCAACCATGTCGCATAGGGCGGAGTCATCCAGCTCGAGTAGGCCGGCGAGGAGGCTGAGTTCCACGGTCGCTAGGTTTGTGGCCTATCCGGTTGGTACGGAAACAGGGCTCCCCTTGATTGTCTGCCCCGATTGCAAGCTTGCTTATGTGATTGAGCTGCGCGTGGTGCAGGACACTCGAAACAAGGGCCGCAGCTTCTTCAAATGCCCTAGAAACGGGGTGAGTTTTGGTGATTTTCCTTTTTTCTTCATTCTAGCCCTAGCTTGTCTTATTTATTTATTTATTTATTGCACAATCCGCAGCTCTGTAGCTTCTATAGGTTCCAGAAGGCTTATTTGGATGAATTGGTTCGACAAGAAGATCATCAGGATCTGCTGCGAGGAGATTGAGGAACTGGTGGAGGAGGGAGGAGAAGAGCACAGTGAAGGCGCCCTTCTGGGGGTGGAGGGCTTGAAGGACCTGAAGACTGAGGCACTGGAGAAGAAGCTTGAGAAGATGATGTCAAAAATAAACTATGTCATTGTTTGTCTTGTGGTTGTTGTGTTTGGAGTAGTTTTCAAATCTATGATGACCTGATGTAGTGACTTTGTATGACAATGAACCCTTTTATTTCAATGAAATTAGTTGTCCAGTATGCTTGAATGAATGAGCAGTTGGAATTGTGCATTCTCAGTTTCAAATGAATGAGCAGTTGAAGTTGTTTTCAGTGAATGAGCAGTTACAACCAACTTGTAATGAAAAAGAGCAACTGCAAGCTGACATTGAAATAGGGGCTAATTGTTTGCCATTACATTACATAAATAAGATGTTCTTGACATTCAAATAGGGGCTGGTTTGCCATCACATAACTGAGATGTTCTTCACTACCAAAATAAGGACACCATGCTTACTGTTTCTGTGCCCATTTAAGTACATAACATAAATTACATGCCATTGAACACAAAAGTTCCAGATCATTGCATAAAAGACCATCCATGGTCACTTGGCCTTGGCCTTGCCCTTGCCCTTCCCCTCGTCCTTCCCTCCATTCTTCTTAGGTGGTGGAGTTTTCTTCACTTTAGTTGCTAACTGCTTCCTCCTTGGTGTAATTTTCTTCACAGGCTCAGGTTGGACTTCATCTTGTGCAAACAGTGCCCTATTATAGAAAAAACATATTTAGTTACCAGCATAGTTTCAATTAACCATCTTAAAGAAGATGAAATGAGTACCTTTTAATTGGTGTTTCTGGTAGAACAGCTTCCAAAGCCATTAGTTCCAGGCCTCCTTCTTCTTCCCTTGCTGCTTCAAATTCATTTCTTGTAGCTTCCATTTCCTCCCTTGCTGCTGCTTCTGCTAGTTCCCTTGCTGCTTCTGCCTTCATTTGTGCTTCCAGGGCCTCCCTCTTAGCTTTTGTTGATGCTTCTCTTGCCAATGCTGCTCTTGTTCTTGGAGTTACTGCTTCATCACCACCAGATGTCTTGGCCTTCTTCCTCCCAACCTTGGCTGGTTTCTTCTTACTTGCTCTCTTCCTACAAAGTGTAGGGTCAGTGGTTATCATTTACAAAAAAAAACAAAAACAAGTAAATCACAGTTAGAAGGCACCTTTTCTTTGTTCTAGTGTGGGGACACTTCCAGCTACTAGCCCTGTGACCATACTCTTTACAGTTTGGGCACCTGACTTGCCTAGTTGCTTTGCTTCATGTCTCCCTTGCTGGTTTCATCTTATTTTTCCTTAATCTTCCAGGCTCTTTCTTTTTCTGTAGTGGAGGGTGGACTTTGTACCCCTTGGCTACCTTAGGCCATTGATTCCTATCAGTGATGCTTGGAATTATACATGCATATGCTGCTTGAAACTTGGCCACAGAATAATAGTTGTCCACAAAGGATCCCATGTCAGGGTTCCTCATGCTGGTGATAACTGTCAGTGCATGTGGACATGGTTTACCAGTTAGTTGCCACTGCCTGCAAGTGCAAATTTTCTGAGGTAAGTACACAACATGCCTTCTAACTTCTTCATCTTTGTACACCTCAGTGACCTCAGCTTCAGTAGGGTGGCCGTTGGAAACATGCATGTGACCTAGTCCCCTAGAGGCAGCATTGATCTGATAGATGACAGCAGGCAATATACCAGGAGGCAATGCTATAGAAATCTTCCTTCTTTTGGCAAACAAGATCATTATCTGCTCTCTAATGGCATCTACCATGCAGTGCACAGGCAGGTCTTTGTGCTCTTTGATCCAAGCATTCTAAGATTCTGCTAGATTGTTGTTTATGTAGTCACACTTGATATCAGCAGAGAACTTGCTTCTTGCCCAAAGAAATGGATGGTGCTCATCAAGCCATTTCTGCACCTTTGGACTAGCTGCCAACACTTTGTCAAAGAAGTACTTGAACTTATGTGGGGAATATGCTCTAGCTGCAGGCCACATATTCTTGCCATACACATCACCTGTGTAGTACTTCTTCATATTCTCCATCAAATGCCTAAAACATTCTCTCCACTCTGCATCTAGAAACACACTTTTTACAGCTGACTCCAAACCCTTGCATGCATCTGTGCAGATTGCTAAGTGCTCCATGGGTCCAATTGCTTTCCTAAGTTGTTCCATAAACCAAACCCAATTGTCTTTTGTCTCAGAGTCAAAGAAGCCAAATGCTAAAGGAAACAACCAGTTATGGCCATCTAGAGCTAAGGCTGCTGGCATGTGGCCATTCCAGGACCCATTCAGAGCAGTAGAGTCTACACTGATATAAGGCCTACAGCCATTTAAAAAACCATCTATACTTGCTTTGAATGCACAGAAGAATCTGCTAAACCTAACTTTGCCTTCATCATCTATGATAGTGTCTATCTCTACCACACTACCAGGTGTATCTCAGTTCTATCTCAGCCTTTATCCTATACAACCAATCGAAAGAATCATTCCACTTACCAAAAAGCTTTTCAGATGCTCTCCTAGTCCCATTGTACACTGTCTGGTAGGGGATGTCAATACCATATTTGAATTTCAACTCCTTTTTCATCTCTGTAGCCCCCATTGATGTCTTCTTATTTAAGTATTGAACTGCTCTCTCTGCCACCCATTTTATTGAGGCCATAGTGTTGTCTTCAACCCTTTGTGTAGATGCACACTTATGATCTTGTTTATTTATTTGAATCTGCATGTACAAAAAAAGCCATACATAAGTATAATTGAAAGGCTTTAAACCACCAGTTCAATGGAGAAGATGCAATGCAAACAAAAACTACAACAAACATGTGTATACAATCAGAAAACGTACCCTGACACTGCCATCATGTTAGGTTCTGGCTCTAAGTTTCCATGGGTAGCCTAGAGCACCACAGCAGACCCTGTATCTTTCTTTGTCTGAATGCTCAGTAACAAGCTCAAACTCCCTTTTTATAGCATATTGTTTAATTGCTAGCCTAAGCTCCTCCATGCTGGGATACACAGTGCCTACACTCATATCAGGATTGTCCCTGTCCCATTCATACAGTGACTCTTCATGAGCAATGTCATCAACATCAATAGCTGCTGCATTCATGTCTTCATGCATCTGTGCTGACATAGCTGGAATTGGCACCTCTTGTGTACCATGTTCTTCCTCTCTTGCATCAGCTTCCTTGAATCCCATAGCCTCATATATCTGATCCTCATCAACAAGCTGTATAGCAGTACCATCATCTTTAGGGTTCTCTTGAATGGTTAGAATGCTCCAATCAACTACTGCTACAGGTTGTTCATCATGGGAGGGTGGGGTGCTACAAGTATCACCACAGCCTTCAACATCATTAGGCTCTACACTATGTTCATTAGTCACACCAGAGACACATCTAGCTCTAGAAGCAGCTGAACTAGCATTGTCATTACACACACCTTTCTTGACAACATCAACAGTAAGAAAAGCCACCCTCTCATCCCAGTGGTCCTTAATCATTTGCTGCACATGTTCATCCCTCCTAAACTTCCACTCAGAGCCAGTTTCTTGGTCTACAACCCAGACTGCAAGTGTTTGAGAATGCCCCTAGATAGTCTTTGTTGATAAATCATCATGGAATTTAGCAAGAGAATACTGATCGTTCCTATCAAACCAGATGTCATGCTACTGCTCTGCCATGTCCACTAGACCATATTCATCAGCAACATATGGACCAACCTTAACAACTAGCCTCAATGCACTGCCAGGATCGATCCTGGCATCATCATAGACATGGAAAACATCAGCAAGTACAGACTAAGTACTACACATCTACTGTGGTAAAGTGCTTACCAAGGAGGGCAATCACCAGTGGCCATTGCGACACGGATCAGATGGAGACGTATGTAACACCCCGGTGTTATGCCTGCATTTAGGCACTGCAAATCATACATATCATGCATCATCAAGCATCCTAATCCTACATGCCTAATCATGTAAATAACAATTGAAACACTGCTTTGAAACATCTGAAACATGTTGTGAAACCTGAATGTTGCATACCTTTGTTAGAATTGTTTTGCCCTGATTTTGCTTGCTAGGTTAGTAAAACATGTTTGGCTACTATTGTAAATCATCTAGGATTATTTAGTTCAATTTTTGGAGCAAGGTTTGTATTCAAATTAATTCAAAATTTTGCTTCCAAAGTAATTTCCCAAAAATTAAGGTTTTGAGTTAAACATGGACTTTGATTTTTCAATTCAAAATCTAGAAAGAATTTGGCTTTGGTCATAAAAGCAAAGTTGTAGAGAATCAAATTCTAATCAACTTTCATTTTTGGTACATTTTCAAAAGATGTCATTTTCTTGCTCAAAGTAATGTTTAAAAGTTGGCATTTAAAAATTCCTTGAAAATACAAATCAAAAAGGGCTTTTTCTCCTTCGCGGGCCGCCGCCTCGCTTCTGGCCCACGGCCGAAGCTGGCCCAGCCAGCATCCCGCAGCGCCGCGCGCCTCGCCTTGGCCCAGCCCAGCCCAACGCCGCGCTGGCCTGCCTCCGCCTGCCTGCCCGCTGACGCGACGCGACGCGCCGCGCCGCACGCCCGACCGCGGCAGAGCTTGCCCGCCGCGTGGCGGCCATGCGCCGTCGACGCCGCCGTGCGTCACAGCCGGCCTGCGCCCGCGCCCACGCGCCCGCCTATTCCTGCCGAAGCCGGTGCGCTCGCTCGCTCACTCCCGCGCTGCTTCTCCTCTCCGCGAGCACCGCGCGCACTCGCTCTGCCTCTCGCCGTGCCACCGCACCCGCCGGCGAAATCCACCGCGGCTCCTCCACCTCAGCCAGCAATCATGCGCCCGCAGCTCCGCCTCGCTCTCCTTCAAGTCGTGCTCGTGTTTGCGCCGACTGCCGAGCTCAGGTAGAGCTGTCTCAAGCCCCGCCACCGTCGGCCATGGCGCCGCCGTGCTCGGTCACCATGGAAGACACCTTCCTCCTCT